CCAACCTTCCGATCAGTAGGTGACCTGCTCTACCTCCTGAGCTACAGCCACCCTTAAATTGACCACACGTGTTTAATTTGAGCAGAAATCAATGAAACACGCTGGGGTGATTTTTCCAAGACTACCTGGATGAAAAGGACGTGATGTCACAAACACACAAAAACCCTGCACCACACTCGGCACTGTTTGTTCTGACTGCTGCATTTCCACAAGCAAAAGTTTGAGAGCTGAGCAGAGTTTCTTTTTTAATGTGTGCTTTCTTCTCTTTTACATCGTGGATCCATTATGAGCCTCGTCTGTGTTTGCTCCGCGGCTCAGCCTTTAATCATTCTCGGCTCTCTGCCCATCAAACATTGATGCTTTGTGTTTCTGCCCGGTGATGACGAGCGTTGCCTGCGAAAAAGCTAATATCAAACACGGCGTGAATTTTTCAGAAGGCCTGAGGATGGAGGAGAGCTGGGATTTTGGTGTTCTCACACACACACACACACACACACACACACACATACACACACACACACACACTGTTTTCTTGCGTTGAAAGTGAGTTTCCATTTTTACCTGTAAAAACTGCACATTTGTAGATCTGAACTATTAGTTTCTCTCATGCTTCGGTTCGTGCTGGGACTGGTGAAATAACTGACCATCAATAAAACAACTTTGTTTTCATATTTCCTCTCCAAAGATCCCTTTCTGTTAATCCAAATCAGGTGAAGAACAAAAAGCAGAAGCCCAAAATGATTCGTATTCATTTTATGATTATTCAGAGACACCTCTGTGATATGAACAAATTCTAATTCTTGAATATAACTCATCAGAGTTCTGCATGAAGGACAGACTCGGTGCAGAGATGTAAAAATGCATGAATTTAAAGGTGAGGCCATGCCATGGACGCTCAAGGCGGCTCACCTTCATGTGTCGTCGCCTCCGTCTGAAGCGCAGCAGCTCCTTGTGCTGGCGGGCGATGAAGTTGACGGCGGCGTACTCGAGCAGGGCCGAGAACACAAACAGCAGACAGACGGCCATCCAGATATCGATGGCTTTTACGTACGACACCTGTTAGTGGAGATGGGAAAGAAGAGTCCGTCAGAGGGTCTCTGTCGTGTCTGACTTGCTGATAAAAAAAAGAAACCCTAATAAAATCTAACGAGCATCTAAAGATCATTTCACCCTGTTTGGTTTGAGGCTGGAGGCAGTCGATTAGAGAAAGTTTGTAAAGTCGGCTTCATTTTCAGTTCATGACTTTAAACTCCAAATGTTTTCTCAAATGACCAATTTACACCAAATGATGCTCCTGCGACATGAAAATAAGCGTTCATAACGGAACATTTATTGCTGTAACTGATGCACATAAGTACAGTACAATGAGTGCATAAATCACATGATATATGTGGGAACAAATACATTATTTTTTATTTTCAGCTCTGTGGTTTTAGATCTCAGGAGACGCTCCCTTCATTTGAAATTTGGTATTTTCTGCTAATTTTTCCACTTTATTTTATAATGTTTCATTTACCCTCCAAAAAGACTTTAATGAATAAAGTCTGAAAAGTAAAAAGTGAACCCGTGTGTCCTCTGCTTGTATCAAAGTCAGAAAATGAGCCTACTGCTAACCTGATCTCAGTAAACACTCGCCATACTTTATCAGTACTTTCAGCTCAGCTACTTTCAGTAAATTTGATAAGTTAAAATCATTATTAGGACAGAAAGATAAACCAGGGTATGATCACTGGACTGTGACCACAGCTGGCTGCACCCCTCAACTCGAGGTTTCACAACAGATGTTCACTGACTGATGGGTGACAGTGTGTATTTAACCTTCTAGGACCTGGCGTCCACATATGTGGACATCACATTTGAGTTGTCTAGACCAAAATACTAAATCTTGCCCTACAGGGGCCTGATATCCTCTTACGAGGACAATATACTGCCACTGTTCTATCGAAATTTTAAACGAATACCCTCATATGTGGATCTCATTTCTTTTAGAAACAAAACTCAGGTAAAAAAAAAAAAATCTGGTAATTATTTGCTTTTACATTCATCGGGTCCCAATATGCCTAAAGATCAAAGAGAAATTAAAAAGGCATGCCACGGAAGACTTCGGGTCTTAGGAGGTTAAATAAAAGACTGCAACAATTTGTGGGGCCGTTAATATTCAGAGTTATCTTCCACAGCATGTCTTTTATCATGTCTTCCTTCTCTCACCCCAACCCGTCACCCCTCCCTGAGCCTGGCTCTGTCGGAGGTTTCTTCTTGTTAAAAGGGAGTTTTTCCTTCCCACTGTCGCTAAAGTGCTTGCTCATAGGGGGTCATATGATTGTTGGGGTTTTCTCTGTATGTATTATTGTAGGGTCTACCTTACAGGATAAAGCACCTTGAGGTGACTGTTGTTGTCACTTGTATTTGGCGCTGTATAAATAAAACTGAACTGAATTATGGCAGTCAAGTTATGGTTGGTGTATGTTTTTATCTGGCAGCAGGGCACTGGGACTTTAGTCAGTGTTACCGATCAGTGTAAGCTATTGTTGAAGCAATACGCTGTTCTTATAGAGCTTCCTCTGGTCACTCTAAAGGGTCAACCAAATAATCTGTTTCCCCAATGAAATGTGCAGATTTTGGCGAAGTGCTTTTTAACAGAGGAAAAGGATTTTATAAACATACTGGTTTCCTTCAGAAAGCATAAATGTTTCCAGTTTGCACACAATAACAGAATGATTTCAGAAAAAACAACAGTGAACAGGGTGAATATTATTACTCCTGAAAAACTGACTTTTTCATTGAGCCACAGCACAAAGCACTGCTGTGCAATGATGTGCTTTAACTCTGTAACACTCAAAGCTGTAAAATTCAGTTCAAACTGATGGTTATCTTCCAGTTTACACTTGGTATAAAAACTTGAGCAGGGTTCAAGCTGTAACTGAGCATCACCAGTCCAGACCTGAGAAACAGAATCACTGATGCTCACAGTCAGCGGCTAAACTGGGCCTGAGTCATCACTTTGTCTTCCAACACAACAACGACCCAAAACATATGTCGCTCCTGGTGAAGAATGACCTCCAGAAGACCAAAGTGAGCGTTACATGACTGGCCTGCACAAAGCCCTGAATGTGGGCCGAACTGGAGAAAAAGGTCCACACCAGAAGATCATCACATCTGGAGGAGCCCGAGAGGTTCTCACAAGAAGAACAGGCTGGGATTACTGAGGAGAGGAGTGAAGACTGCAGTAGATGACTGCAGGCTGTTATCCAGCTAAATGGACTGTTAGCTTCAGGGGTAATCATTACCCTGGTAGTTTTTGTTTTTTGCAAAATAATTTGATTTCTGTGTGCAAAAGTAAAATAATCTAAGCATCCAAATACATTAAAATACTTTAATTTCATAGTGGTCTGATAATCTGTACTCATTTATACATTGGTCTGCAATATCTGAGTGCACAGGAATGAGTGATGCTCTGTATCTTTATCGCAGCAAAGGCATACATGTAAAGGTATTTCCACTGTCTTGAGCTTAGACTACGAGGTGCTTTCACCACATTATTAAATTTACCTGACTGCATGCACAGCCAGGTGCACGTAAAACACAACACTGGGCCCAACTAGCTCACAGAACCAGTGAAATTACAGCAAGATGGCCAGGGCGAGGACTGTCCAGATAACACGGGCTAAATGAAGTCTGGTTGGATCATTGTATGATTGCTATCTGCCCGCCAAGTACCTTTATTCGAGTGCATTCGCCCGGCCTGTCATTACAACTCTTCATCTCCAAACGCAATTACAGCGTGCAGCCTGAGAGGGAGAACCTGGTCCGTCTCACAGAGAGGAAGCCCACAATCAGCCGTTTAAAATCCAATTAAACTATGACTTTGGATCACTTTACACAAACACAGAGTGCTTATCATCGCCGCTCGACCTCGCTGTGATTTGTGCTCGTTTGTGCCGTTCATGAAAACGTTTATCTTCGAACGCCTGAGCGACTCCCTCCCCGAGCTGCCGAGAGGCCTCAACGCTCAGTGGGCACGCTCAGTGGTGATGGTCATCCAGCCAGAGAGACGGGGATGACTCTCCCACAAAAATGATTTCACAGGCACTGAAAGAAGCCTTTCCTCCTTTGTGTGAAGCAGTAGAAACAATCTTCAAATTCTGCCCAGCACACACGTTACCTTTTCATACATACTCATAAAATCAGCATGGGCGATTTTAGAGGTCAGCTTTGGTTCCTGTGCTGCTTTATTTTGGACTGTATGGTTATGTTCATAAACTTGGGCAGATCCAGAAGTAAAAGAAGCTTTTGAATGACCCCTTCTCTAAAATAGTGCCTTCTCTGGTGCTGATTCTGGGAAGGCAGAGCATTAAGCGAGGTAAATGAAGCAGATGGAGAGAGAGAGGCTGCACCACACTGTTGGACAACACTTTATTTCCTGATGCTGTTTTTGTTTTACTGCCAACATGAAGCGTTATGAGTGACCACAGTTTTCCTTATGCTGCTGGTACAGATTTCTTAAATTAGCTCTCGCAGACTGTGCTTAGCTATGAAATCTGGCAGGACTGAAGAACACCAAACTCACGCTCTACATCCTGAGAGTGACTCGTGTGTTTTTACTGAGTCCACAGGCGACTGTTAGCTCGGTGCTGCAGTATGATCTGTGTGAGGCTGAAAGCTCCTGACAGACAAACTGAGCAGTAGTGACCTGCTGAGCAGCTTAGGCGGCGTTACTGTACTCATGCTTCACAGGGCAACGATCAAAAAAGAAGAAGAAGAAGAAGTGGCGGGCCGTGAGCTGAAAGTGCTGACAGACTGAGCAAGTGTCTGGAATACTAAGGGGGGATTTTCCCTTATTTTCTGCCATAATCATATTGCCTTGAATGATTCCACAGGTTGAAATAATGAGGTAAAAATGTGTGTAAGAATAATCCACAGGAGCCTAAAACTCAGGCATCAGACATGGTTGTTTTGGCCCAGATAGCACCCTCCATTGCTGTGACATCAGCGTGAGAGAGGAACGTGGTCAGCACAGCACAGTGACGTACTGCTGACGTAGCCCGTGTGGGTGGAGGCGACGCCTAGCTTCTACCCGTTTTTGTGTGACCCACTCACAGAGGGATTCAAGGCATGGGGTAGCTTGGAAATCGTTTGCGGCACGTGAGTAGAGTAGCTGGATAGTCTAGTGTGAACACTTGGGAACAACAGATTTGAGTTTCAATCCTTTTACGCATCTACAAAATGTCTCCAGGCTAACCTCATCCTAATAAAAGCGACAGATAACTGAAGCATACCGGTTCATATGTGGCCCGATCAGCAAGCTCCATATCAAGTCTTCAGGATGAGAGGACAAACTGAGAAGTGGGCTAGTGGAACACAACATGCATGGAACAGGAAAATGTGGGAATGATGGATGGATAGATCATTTTTCAGTACTGAACAGATGATGTTTTTTTCTGTGGTAATCTGTAATGTAAGCTAATCTGACCATCCTTCTTTTTTAATTTCACCAAAGTTGACATTAAACTTTGGATTAATAACAGATCTCCCTGCAGTCATCCTTCACCTGTTCAGATTTCCAGCACAGTTCTGCTGATTCAGCAGCGCTCTGAGAACTCTGAGAGGGGCTTCCTCAGCATTGAGTCACGACTGGACTGAAGGTTTCTGACGGGGCATCAGCTGTTCATGCATGCAGCAACACGCAACTGAGCTCCCTGTCAGAAGATCAATGCATCGATCCTTTCTTCACTGAGAGACAGAAAATAAATATCATCATAAATACTAAAGAAGGATGTAGTTTCCACACAGCCAGTTATCATCCCTGATGTGTCAGAGAAGGGGCTCAAAGTTTTCATAACCTGGTACTGAGGTCTCAGTCCTGGCTCCCCACAGAGGGATGCTTGTTCAGAAATTTAAACACACTGCTCAAAGAAGTCCTGCCATTGATTAATTCTTCGATCTTATATATGATCAACCTATCTCTAATAATCGGTTATGTACCACAGG